ACGACAAATAACCAATGTTTAGTTCTGTCGATATGGACAGACTTTCGACACACGGCCGATGATTCCACGTGCCTTTGAAGCTCGCCGGTGCTGCCGAATCCGAATCCGGGACGGACTTGAGGCGATTATCACTTGCCGAGCACGCAAAATGGTCCCTTGGCGCTGTTGCCCTCATGTTTGAATTGGGTCAAGGTTGAAGGGGTCTTTCCAAGAGAACGAGTCAACTCGAGATGGAGCAATCGCCATCTTCACAAGTCTTGACAAGCTCTCAGCCAGACAAGCAACGGATCCTGCTGCAAGGAGTTACACCACCCACAAGTGACAGCCAACAAACTCCGAGACACTTTCCTCTGTTTTCTGGAAGTTACAGGGCAGCATTCGATGCTCATTGGAAGTCCTCACAAACTACAAACCGTAGAGGTGGGAAGAGGGGGGACCGCCGCGACTTGAGGGTGGGGGAGAAGAAAGAAAATTTTAAACCGTTCTGGGGTCAAAACCCACTAACCAGCTCCACAGCGATGGGTTCCTCTTTGCCGAATTGCAGACGACTCACGGCGCGTATTGAAGACTTGAGGCCCCACGACCTGCTCAAGTTCAAAGTCGGTGCCCTTGAATGGTTCCTCAGGAGGTGAATGGTTCGGAGAGACCAAGATCACGTTGCAGAAGCGACGAGCACTGATGTGGAACATGAGCTGCCCAACAATGGCCTGCTCTCCCGTATACTGCGTACCTACACCAGAGGCCAGCCATGAATCGCAGACCGATGTATCGAGTACGAGCCGGCACATTCGAGGTGTGCCGCATGTTGCGCCTCAACCGCCAGGGAAAGCGGTATCGAGTACGCGGACCATCGGCGCGGACTGTCGGCCAGCGATCCACCCCTCCAAAAGAAAGTGAGGGGCTGATGGTACTTGAAAGCTACCTGGCTCACTCACTGCGACGTCACCGCACCACGAGTACACTTGTGTGTCGCTTGTCGAGGCCACCGCCGCCGCCCAGGTGACTTGGAGTCTTGACCGTCCCGGCCGACAGGAGCGGCCTTTCTGATGCGCCCCGAAGGGAAGAGCTCCAACAGCTCCATCAACCCCGTTGCGAAGGCCGCCGTTGTCCAGAAGAGGCTTGAAGTGTTGCGACAGGACCTAAGATGTGCAAGACTAAGACCAAGAATCAGAATCAGACTCAAACAGCCAGCTGGTCAGCAGACCAAGAGCAAACATCGCGCCCCTAGTGGGCAGCAGAACGAGAGCACCCATGAGCGTGATGGAAGACAATGTTGGTACATATCAACGGACGGAAACACGTATGAATGCACGAGCATGTCGACGATGATAGGGCGGCGATACCCGTATCCGTACAGCACCCTTTTGGACTTCAACTCTGTTGGCCAACTCTACCGTACTCTCGCCAACCTTTGGCTGGCACTCATCACACACACACTCTCTCTCTCTCTTCAAAGTTTGGCTTCTCCGTCACCGCCGACATCAGGATAGGGCGGGCAATCCACAGGCAAGACTGCTTCTGTCAGTCTGTCTCGAGCCCCTCACCTCCATTTCGGCAGCTAACCACGACTGACGGGCAGCATTCATCCTTGCTCCCTTGCTTCGTCCCAAGCGGGCATCAGCGAGCAAATGGACTTTGCCCACCACCCTCAGCTCTGCTGGCTCTTTTGCTCGTGAGTGACTTCGGTAGTGGCTAACCTAACCTCTCCCCTCCATCCCTCCATCCTCGAGCAAGGAAAAAAAAGGCATCACAGACCACCACTCGCACCAACAAACAACAAGCAACTCTGGACAAGCTGGTGTCATCTCTTGCTTTCCACACACCCCTGTCCCTCGCCCGCCTGCCGAGGGCCCCTCCCATCCCATCTCATCCCACATCTCAAAAAAGCTGCTCAGACCGACATCAAGGCTCAGTCACCCCAGTCGAGCGCGAGCAAGGCAGGTCCCTCGGCGCTCCGAGTCTTTCCAGGCACCCTCCGTGCTTCCCAGGTACCGGTCCCTTGGACCACGGCGTCGGAGCAAGTTTTCTGCTCTAAGACGGTTCACCGTCTCTGCGAATGAATCGTTACTACTGGGCAGCAGTTCGACATACAGTATCCGTATCCCACACTATCAAAAGATGCTTGCCAACAACTAGCCGGCTTGGCTCTGGTTTGACTTTGGCGAGTCGCATACTTTCGTCCGTCCTACAGCAACATTGCACCCACCACACCATGTTTCTCTCTCTTGACATTCGTCAGTCACAGTGACGGAGGCCAGCTCCGATCTTCAGCCCTTTTGTTCCGGCCTTTTCCGCCTTGACTTTGACGTAGTCAGCAAACGAACGGGCCTTTTCGTCCATGCATTTGGGTTTTATATCGCCGATGGGGAACGGTATTCGTCAGATTTTTAGTCAACCCCAGACCTGGGCGGCGGGCGAGCGAGCGAGAAATGAAGAGAGAAAATGAGAGAGGTTGAGAGACAGCGACGAAGAAAGGGAGAGTAAAAAAAAAAGAGGCTTTTTGCACTCCCCCCTGGTACTCTTCGCCTCACGCCCGCCACCAAGGAAGGGCCCTGTGTACGACATTCAAGCCGCTAAAATAACGTCGACGCTTGTTTCTCTTCACGACTCACGTCGAATCGCTTGAGGATGGCAAAGTTGGGAAGAATTGCCCGCCACGTCCGCCACGCCCGCCACGAGCAGCCTCGTCCAATCCAACCGTCGCCCAGTCTAGCGGTCGGCACCCGCGAAGCACCAAACATGGTATCTTGCGCGCAGCAGCAGCAGCAGCAGCAGCAGCAGCAGCAGCAGCACCGGCATGGCAGCAAGCAGCACAGCAAAGCAAAGTACAGCACAGCGCAGCGGTCAAGTGACGAGTCGAGGCGGCGCACTGCGAACGGATACTACTTGACTGCTTGGGCGAGTTGGAGCATGGATTGCATGTCGCTGCTCCGCACTCGTTTTGTTTGCCTGCCCATCCCATCCCGTTCCTTCGCATAGCATCGCATCGCACGCCCGCGGGTTTCCAAACTGAAAGAAAACCTAATAATACAGCAGACCCTTCTTTTGCAAGGACCTGGCATCTTACTATCACACCGCAACCACACTTCAGCTCACCGTACATTACACCGGCCAGCTGGCCCCTCGTGGACCACCAGCGACGTAATGATCAAGACAAGACAAGAGGGGGACCAAAGCCCCAGAAAAAGCGGAACTTGGACATTCCTTTGCACGGCCGTTGCTGGAAAGCAAATTTCCTTCTCGAATCCCGTGACCACTTTTCCCCAGTTGTCTGGCACTCTGGCATGGAGTATGATCCAGAATGCGCCGGTCCATGACTCCATGAGCAAGTATCGGACGGAACACACCGAGAGATTCGGAGAGAATGGCCAAAAACCAAGAGAGAGAAAGTGAGAGCATGAAAATGGTCCTGTCTCTGAGGTTCGGCCATCCATGAGTTTTCGCGCGCCGGGCCCCCTCCCCCCCTTTTCTCCCGACAGCATCTCCGTGCGGCGCGTCCCGTCCGGAACTGGCATTGTGCGTGCCTTGGAAAGCCGACGAGAACTGCTGCTGCATCGGATTCAAACGAGCTTGGGAAGTGGTGTCGGGTATGGGAATGGGAGTGGCATTGGGGAATGCCCTGAGTCGGTCTGCTAGCCGGGCACTACCCATCCCTGACAGTCGCCAACTTGTTGCTACCGCAGTATCCGTACGACTAGCCCGGACTACTGCGCAGGTGTAGGCATTCTGTTTGTGTGCGCGTGGTTGATGTGGGAGAAGAGAGTTTCTAGCTACTATGCTTAGCACCGCATATCCGCCGCCCAGGTACGCAGTGTAGTTTCTCAGCAAGCGACCAAACAAGCGAGCAAGCCATCGGCAAGACAAGAAGAGATTCCCAGGCTGTTGGAAGACTTCCTAAGACAAGCATACCTACTGGGGCATATGTGCTTCTCCCCAAACGGTACTCTTCGCGGCACAGTACACGAAGAGTACCATACCTCTGTCTGTACATGCGCGTGTATATGAGGATTTACCTGTACGTAGGCTGTGGGAGGAAGCTGATCAAGTCGGGCCAGCAGCAGCTTCACACGCAAGACACGCGCTCGCTCTAACCCCCCTTGTCACCAGGAACGCACGCACGCACGCACTTCCACCCTCTCTTACGTCCATTTCCAGGGCGGCGCGCGTGGGAGAAACGGCGGAGGCTGTCGATGGGGGGGGGGATGTTAACGACACGCCCCTCTCCCGGTCTTCATTTTTCCCACACGCAGCGCAAGGAAAAGCTCCAAGAGCGACGACGACGACGAGGACCACGACGTGCTGCGGAGTAATCGGTACCTATACGGTAGAGCAGAGGGAAAAGTACTGGGGACGCTCACACCCACATCCACACCCCCCCTCGTTCGCTCACGAAGATCCCTCGTCCTAGCTCGACTCCCCCAATCCTAGACTTGTCCAGATAGTGTAAAGTCGCCGCGCTGCTGCTACGTTTTTTTTTTTTCCTTTTATCCCCCCTTCTCGTCCCTCCTAACCCACCCTTGCTATTTTTCATAGACCCCCCTGGCCCTGCTAGCTTTCTGAGACTTTTGGACTTGGCAGGGTCGATTGGATTTCCCAGGTGGTCCTCTCTGTCTCTCGCTCTCTCCCACTCTCTTTTCTTTGGAGGAAGAGTCCAGGACTGATGGACTTGTCGCGAAAGTAATTCCCTGCCTTGTCTCTCTCAGTCACTCTCACCCCTGTCTCCACCGCATCACACACGCACTCAGGAGCTTGAGATACTTTCAGATACCACATCGCGTACCCCTCGGCCAAGCTCCAGAGCTCCAAGAAGTATACGTATTACTGCGTAGAGGACCGAAGAGAAGGATAGGTACTTCCATACGGAGTACGGATAGTCAACAAGAGTCAGACCAGGCCACCAAAAGCAGACCGCCTTGGAACGGGTGGTGCCCGTTTTCTGCCTTTGCCTCCAACTTTTTCTCTCGCACCCTACATCCGAGTCTACACACCCAACCCGCCATCGTACATTAGAGTAAAGGATACCTACTCCGTCGAGCAAGCGTACCGAGTACCTCGTGCCGACACCTCCACTTCGTGCGTGTACCTTGTAGCCGTGGCGCTCGTCTACTCTCTGCGCGGGAGCAAGGTATATGGCGACCGGGACATCATCATCCATCCGTCTCGCCGCCGCTTGAGAATTTGACGTTTTTCTCGACCTTCTTTTTCTTCCCTCCTCTACGCGCAAGTCAACAGTCGGAGAGAAAAAGAGAGAGAGAGAGAGATCCCCTCCTCCCCACCTCGCTCACACCGTCACCCCCGTCAAACCTCCAAGGCAGCGCAACCCGAAGAAAGAGGAGAGAGCAAAAATAGCGGAAGCTCCATCTCTGCCCAACGCGCTGATCCCCGCCCCCTTCGAGTTCCAAGCCGACCCTTTGGGCATCCGGGCGCATTCGCAGAGTGGGAAAATCCCATTTCCCAAGTTTCAAGAACCACACAGCCGGGAACACTTCAAACCGCTCACCACATCGGGTTCCCAAAGTCGAGTAAGAAGACTTCTCGAGCCGACTCGAATCGAGCTTCCCGTCCCTCGCCGCGCGCCGCCGCCGCCGCGCCTCCTCTTCCGCCCTTCCACTCCCAGCAGACTCCTAGTCCCCTACCCTACCTTACTACTACGGATACCTTCCTTGGTCCTTGGTCCTTGACACCCAAGATAGGTTCTACAGATACATCCCCAAGTCTACGGATACGGATACCTCGACTCCCAACGACTTAGATCCCCGACATTGGGTTGCCAAGTACCTCTTCCTCCTCCTCCTCCTCCTACCTAACCACACTACTCCTCACCCTCACCCTCCTCTACTTGGTACTATCCGTACCTCTCCGACTTTCACACCGACCTACCCTTCTTGTGCGTACTTCGTACACTTACGTTGCACTTCTCCGTACCGGTATACCGTGGACCACCACTCTGTACCGTACATACAACGTCTGTACAGACACGCCGCCATCAGGAAGAGGAACCACCACGGCCCCATGCTTTCATCCAAACACTGAGAGCCTCCAATTGTTGCTGCCCCAGACCCAGAACCCAACCTGATCTCCGTTCCCCGTCCCGGCTTCCCTCAACTCACACAGGCTTCCTGCTTGATTGATTGCTTGGTCGCTTGGTTGCTCGCTTGTCCTTCTCGCTCCCTCCTATCCTCGTCCCCGTCTACTGCTGCTCCCGTCTCTGCGTCGCGTTGCGTTGCGTTGCGCTGGCCCAGCTTTGAGAGAGAGACTACTGGACTGGACCGGACCGGAACTGGACGTCTGGCTCTTCTTCCTCGTTGCCCATAGCTTTTCCATGGCCGCCACCTTCTCCTCCTCGGATCTGGCCTGACCCTATTTTCGCTTCGTCTCTTGTTTTTTCATAAGCATTTGTACGTATGTACATATATATCAAGCATGGATCCTCCGGGGCAGCCTGACAACAAACGCCCCCGTCTCTCGAGCACCAACTCGTGGTCACCAACTGGCGGACCGCAACACCATCTACCACCACTCCACCCGCCGCCCTCGCACCCGTCGACGCCGCACCAACAACATCCTCTTCCTCCTCACCAGCAACACGCGCCGCCGCCTGCGCCATATAACCACCAGCAGCAGCCGCCTCCGTACCCTCCTCGCTCCGTCGAGCCTCACCACGCTCCTCACCCGGCGCCGCAACATCATCCCGACGACCGACGACACCATGAGCCAGAGTCTCCTTACACGCCCATGCAGGACCACTATCGACACCCGCCCTCACCTGCGCACCCGCCTTACCCACCGTTCCCAAACCGAGACCCTGGCGGCGTGAAGAGGGAGCCGCACGACGAGAACCTCTCTCACCCAAGAAGGCCTCACTCGACAGGAGGCGGGCCACAGGACGGCCTCCCTCCTCCGCCGCACTCTGCGCCGCCGCACCCCTCCCACCAACCGTACCCAGACGACTCTCGACGACACATGAGCTACGATAACGGGCCACAGCAGATGCCCCCCACGCCGGGGGGCTACCGAAGCAGCTTCCCTCCTCCTCCTATGGCTCAACCGCCTCCACCACCGCAGCATTATGAACAGCAACCGCAGTACCAACCGCAACCCCCTCCCGAGTCGATATACGCACAATTCTCTTCCACCGCCAAGCGCAAGGCAACAAGAGCCTCTCAGGTGCGATTGCGCGAGTCGTCCCCCATCTATATGAGTTTGCGCTGACCATGTGTTTTGTAGGCTTGTGACAGCTGTCGGCAGCTAAAGGCGAAATGTGACGAAACTAAGCCTTGCAAAAGTTGCAGAGAAAAGGGTGTCGAGTGTAAATATCGCGATCCTATTCCAAAGGCGTCAGTCGAGTTTGCCTCCCCTCCCTCAAATAATGTTTCTTGCTGATATTGGAAAACAGGATTGACAAGGGCCAAACCGACATTTTGGAGGCGATTTCTGAGATGAAGAGCGCGATGGAGGCCAAATTCGAGGCGCAGATTGCCGCCCAGCAAAGGTGGATGCAAAACATGGAGCAGAGGCTGAACATGCACAACATCAAGATGGAAGCCGAAGCACCGCCGCTTTCAGATGATTCTCCCGACAAGTCGCTTGTTAAGTCACCGTCGCCAGTTGCCGCGCCGCCTGTGGAAACGTACCCTCAACCCGACGAAGAGATGCACGAGCCGCAGCCCATGGCTGTTGGCGAGACGGATCTGGCCCACCAGATTCACGATACAGATATGGACAACGACGACGCGCCCGACAACCCTCCCGGACCACCTGTAGCGCCGGGTCCCCCTTCGATCCCGGTAAACCACACAACCAGAGCCGACACCATTTTATTCTGGCCGGGCGTCAAGGAGATGACCCAGGGAATTTTGGAGAGGGAGAATGTCAAGTACCCGCAAGAGTATCCCATCGCCCAGGAGGAGAAGCGCGGTGTTCTGCGACTGTACGGGCGTGGAGAAGGAAGCGGACAAGACTCCACCCGCGGCGTTACAAGCATTGCGGCTTCGGAGGCCTTCGGCACAATGGACGTCATGGAGGACAACTTCTCCGAGACTGGAAACTCGCCCTCTCCTGGTGAGGCTTGGGGCCAAGTCGGAGGATTGAGCCCGCCAACGAGCATGGGATACATCAGCGGAACGCTTACACCCGATGGCGCCCCTGACTTTTCCGAAGAAAAGGTCAAGGCATACATCACCAGCTTCGAGACCCATGTCCTCACCTTGCACCCCATCATTCTCCCCGGCGACCTGAGAGTACTCGTCAAACGCTTCTTGGACAACATTGCGCAAACCGAGAAGAAGCCCAAACCGACTGCACCTGGCGTCGCCAAGTTCGTTGCGCCGACGAGCAGCTACCCAGAAATGTCAAACAAGCGGAAGCGGTCTTCGCCAGCAGTAGATCAGCAGCAGGAAGAGACGATACAGCTCCCTAAGAAGCCGGGCAGGCCGCATAGGACCATTGAAAATGCCCTTGTGTTGGTCATTCTCGCCTTGGGCAAGATCTGCCTGCACCAGTCCAAGATTCCGGACCTCCCCCGGGACATGGTAGAACACAGCCAGAACTCTCCCATGAACAGGAACGGTTATCCATCTTCCCCCGGTGCGCAGGCTTCGCCTCCGTCATATTCCTCGCATTCGCATTCCTCCGGGTTGCCTTCGCCAAAGGAGCAGGCCAATAGTCTTCCCAGCAGACGGCCCTCACTGCAGGGCAGCGGCGCCGGCAGCATGAAGGCCAACACAATGAAGCGCAACTACGACATTATTCCTGGTTTGGAATATTTCGCCTATGCCTCTGACATTATGGGCAACCACATGGCTGGCTGGACGATGAAGCACGCGCAGACTTTTATCTTTGCTGGTCTGTACCATGGCCAACTAGGCAGAGTATTGGAGAGTGACGCCATGTTCTTTAATGCCGCACGAGCGTTGAACATGATCATGCGCCGGTAAGTTGACCGAACACGGATATCAGATTGATGGAAACTAATACCCAAGCAGTGACATGGACCGCTTCTCCAAGATGAGTCTCGTGAATCCCGTTGAGAAGAAGCGCGACAACATGGTCCTCCTCGCATACTGGAGCTGCCTGCAGCTCGAAAAGTAGGTCCCACGACACTAGATTGCTAGTCAATGCTAACGATTTTCAAGCGATATCATTGCGGAACTTGAACTACCGCGATCCAGATGTCTCGACTACGAGCACATTATGCCGTGGCCTAATATGAAGCTCATAGAGAACGAGACATCTGTCAGAGTGCGAGACTCTTATATCGGACAGTTGTACCTGCGAAAGACGCTAAACACCATTCACAACTTGCTCTACGATCCCCAGGACATTCACGTTTCGATCAACGAGAAGATGGCTAAAGTGCAGAACTTGGAGGAGCAGCTGAGAAGCATGCAGTGGGTGTCAAAGGACTTCCACTTCAACGAGGACGATGAACCAGCAAAGGAGCTCATCGATGCGCGGTTGCGTGCCAAGTACTGGGGCGCTCGAGTCATCATCTACCGGCCCTTTGTCAGATTCGTATTGGAGGTTTCGGACAGGCTGAAGCAACGCTCCGATGGCTCAGGCATGCTCAACAAGGAGACTGTGGGACACATTGGCGTCTTCACCCAACACGACGCGACCGCTTTCGTGGGGCAAGGCTCTCACGGAATCCGTCGGCACGATGAGCTCGACCCAGAAGTCAAGGCATACGCGGAAAGAGGTATTAAGGCTCTCATTCAGAGTACTAGGGCCTTCCACGGTGTCGACAGCAAGCGTCTTCTCGTCACCAACATCTTTGGCACAGCCCATGCGTAAGTTGTGACCTTCTCTGTGGTATTCTGGGACAATACTAACGACCACAGGCAATGGGGTAACCTCTTGATCTTGGCAGCAGCCTTCAAGGACCCGTACTTGCACCATCTCGTGTCAGCTGAAGAACTGAAGATGCTGTTCCGACGCACCATTAGCATGCTCGAGATGCATGCCCAGTCATCTAGCTCGCTAACGATTGATATGCATATCCTTCAACACATCGAGAAGGAGCTCTTCACCGAAAACCCGAGGGTTGGCTCCAGCAGCTTCGGCAGCACCAACAGCCACACGGGGCCGACGATCCCCCCGCCTCCACCACCCTCGTCCGCACCACCGGCCCATCACCACCACCATCCGGGCCCCATGTCTATGGCATCCTTCATCGAACCTCACCACCGCAGCGCGAACAACTCTCCAAACCAGGGACACCGCTCGTTGAGCAACGGATCCGTTCACGGTCACCCGCAGAACCACGGACACGGCTACCACGGGCATCCTGGACACCCCGGACACCCTGGACACCCTATGCAGATGTAAAGAACGGTAACCCTCCCCACACGCAGCGACCTCTACCAAGGCGGAGAAACAGTACACGAAGAAGACTCCTCTGCGCGCGCTCGCGATTTTCAAATGACGACAGAAACACCGGGGACCGGGATGGAAATATTTTGGTATTATGGAAAGCTTTTACAAAAGGCAACAAATTAATTGGGAGGAATCAAAATCTTGGGCGGAACGAAATGCCAATGTGTATGCGCGGGCCAGAGGAAAAGGGAGACGGGACAGACGCTTCCCGCCCTCCGCTCTTGGTCATGAAATTCTTCATACCCCAAACAACAAACATCCATGAACCGGCGTTTTGCGAATTCGAAATTCATTTTTCAAACTTCATTTCACGTACCTACTTGGAGATCACCTTGACCCCTGGAAACCCCCCGGAAACCGGAAAAAAACATTTTTTGTTATAAAGGAACCCGCTATACGATTACGCAGTACAAAAAAAAACAATCCTCGAATTTCATCACCTTTCACGGTATTTTGACCGGATCTCCCTTAGTTGTGTGACAGCTTATATTGCCTCCGTATACGCATTGGCGAGAGTGTGCTCTCTACTGGACCGAAAATCTTTCATCAATCACGGCCGACGTGTCAGCGCCGCAATATATATATACTCACGCTCGAACCTGGACGATGAAGCCAACGGATAAGGGAGGAAGGAAAGGGGATGGATCCGGAGGGACAGCATTCTGGAGTGGTAGGTCGGCGGTCAAAGGGGGTGATGGGGCCAAGCAGAAGAGAAGGAGGGGTGTGGGGGCAACGGGAGAGGACAAGATGGGATTTGGACAAGTGCTCTATTTTTTTCTACTACCACTCTCTGTCGTTATCAGACGGCGCTGGACCTCCGCAGGGTCGTTTTGAAATTGGTTCGGTGGACAAAAGGGAGGGGGCGGGGGGGAGGAAAGGAGGAGGATGGATTGGGGGGGTCGAGCAGGCAGGCGGAGGAAAGGATTTTGCATATAAAAGACAAGACTCAAAGCCGAGTTCTTTGGTTCGCGCCCTCTTGTTGTTTATTTTTCATTTTCTTGTCCTTTTTTTCTCTCTCTGCTTCTGGTTGGTTGTTGAAACAACAGACCTCCCTCCAAACAAAGCATTGCGTTTGCGGTTGCGTATTTTTTTTGGTACGTTTTTTTGGGCAGCATTTGCAAAAAACCTTTTTTCTATATATATCCTATTTCTATGGGGAACTTTTTTACTTTATCATCGTCTGACGAAGTGTTGTTGTCGTGGTCGTTGTCGTTGTCGTTATCTTTTGTTTCCCCATCCCCCTCATTCTCGGAGAACTGGATTCACCCAAATGTTGGTTCTGCTTTTTCGGTTCTGGTTGTTACGGCGGGGGGTCTGGAAGTTGGTGGTTTCCATCTGGAAAGGTTTGAGGGCTGGAAGGAAAGTTGTGAATTGATGGCTTGTTCTATTTCTAGGGTGAGATTATTATTATTTTTTCTCGGTGGAGGAGATACCAAACGAGGAGATTGAGAGAGAGAGAGAGAAAGAGAGAAAGAGGCGTGGTTGGGAGTGCTTCTTCTTTCTCTTTTTGAATTATGTTTTTGTTCCTTAGTATATTAGTACTATTATGAAAACTATTGCCCTGGCTTTGGGTTTCCTTGCTCTTGATGTGGTGAATATGGTGATGGAAGATTTGATATGGCTATGTACCCGCTCCTGTGGCGGAGTATCTACAGATCGATCCAAATAGAACAGCGGTTCGACTCGCCCTGAGTTAGGTAGCTTGGAGAAACAGAGTACCGGTAGCCGTTCACCAGTCACCTCCAAACTCCCAAGGAACATTGATCCGTGGGGGAGAAGGAAGGCCGGGTTTGTTTGCAATGTCCGTCCGTCACGTCCGTTCGCGACTTTCCAAGAAGGAAGAATCAAAAATCATGAGAACTGAGCGATGGCGAGGTCTGCACCCTCTTCATATATCGACACGGTCCAAAACCCCACTGCAGCACCCACGCAATCCGCGGGTGCGGTACTCCGGATAGTAGTAATAGTAGTAGTAACCTTGTAGAAAGACCGACGTGACAAGTAACGTCCCCCCGTCACACCACACTCAGCTAATTGAAGGATACATGTACTTTGTACAATCAATTAATCACATATCCGTTACCTCTCTGAACGAGGAGAATTACAGATACGTCAGTTTTTGCTTTCGCCTCACCTGTTTCAGGGCAAAGATGTGGGAACAATGACAGGCCGTACTCCGTAAATGTAGGGTGAACCAACAATAGGCAGGTCAGGTCCCTAGGGCACCCCCCGCCTCCCCGGTCTCGGGTATCCTGATCGCTGATGGAAATGGTTTTTTTTTTTTTTTTTTTTTTTGGTACGATGTATGCCGTATGCCGTATATCGTGCCCGCTTTGCATTGCGGCCGAAGATTTTACGCCCGAAAGGCAGCCCAGGTGCAACACACACGCGCACGCGCTCGCACACAACGGGACTGGCTGGACAGGGACCACGAAAAAGAGACGTCTGCATCAAACTACTTCACCTTACTACCTACCTACCTTACCTCACCGCGCCGTCTGACCTCACTAAGACTTATGCTTCTGTCACCGCGACCGCAAAGTTCGTAAATACCGTCCGTCCGTCCGTCCGTCCAAGTAAGGAAATTCCCTCCCGTACCTGGGCTAATTGGGGGTTCATAACTTCTATCACCTATAACATTACAAAGTCTTGAACAAACCCCCCTTGCGCTTTGCGCTTTGTCCCCTTCTGGTGTAAGTTGTAACCCATCACACATAGGTATCCGTAAAACCGGTGTGAGAGCAAATTCGAACGAAAATGTGATCGATTTTGGGAGCGGGACTTGGCGGGTTGGGAATCGGGATTGCATCAGTCATCAATCACTTTTTTGTGTCTCTTTCACACACTACGTTTTTCGGGTTTCCCTGCCAAACGGACGGACGGTTTGGTACTTTGACACTTTTGACAGCTACTGACCCCCTTTTTAAATTCTACATTGTATTTCAACTAGGTTTTTAAAAAAAAAAAAACGACGGCAAAATATTCCCAACGAGGTAGGTAGTGGTAGTAGAAACCTGGAACGGCAGAGCAGGGGAGACGCGCACACGGCTTGCGGAACTACATTCTACTACTCTTTAGCACCTTATGCCCTTGGGTAAAAGGTAAGTTACAAAGGGCAAAGCGCATTCAGCAATTCCCGAGGCACCATATGCTGGGCCTGGGTTTGGGTTGAGGAGAGAGAGGGAGAGGTGTGATCGGGCCTGGCTGGCGTAGCATTCCCCCCCTCTCCCGCACTTTTTACACGATCAACGACCTAGAACACTCCAAAGCCGCCCCAACAGATCCAGGGAGCCGGTGGATGGGGGGAAGGGGAGATGCGTTTGTGGCGGTCTGCTGGGTGTCACCGAGTTCCTGTCATCAGCTGCGTGGCGGCGGCGTCGTCGTCGCGTTCTACAGCTCAAAGTGCCAGATCAACGTTTCGACACAAGAAACCTGAAATAAGGGATCAAGGCCTGGTGCCTGCTACCCGTAGGGGGGACGGACGCCGCGGGACTGACGGACCGGGACCCAGTGCCATGGGATCAGTTCTCTCGAGCCGTGTGGCTCCCCCTTCTCCCCTTTCTCCCGGGGGCATGGGTGCGGTAGCGGTAGTAAGAGCACATCCCAGGTTTGATATGATAAGTGCGGTTGTTGGCAATAGTACTCGGTAGTAAGTGACGGGGAGGGGGGAGAGGGTCCTTGCACCTTCACTTGGGTTACCCGAAGAAAAGGTGCGCCCTTTCTTCTGCACGGTCGGACGGGATGGACGGACACGGCGATGGGGGACGTAGGGTATGTGGCTGACGGGGGAGGAAGGCTGGACAAGGCGAGGCTGGCGGCGGCGGCGCGGGCGGTTTGACACGCAGGCGGGACGCGGGGCGTGGGAAGGGGGTGGTGGTCGCGATGGCCGTGATGGCCGTCTTTGAACGCACACAAGGCGCGCTAAGGGGTCTAGGACGAGGGCAGTCCAGAACCAGAATCAGAACCAGAACCAAAGGTACGGGGAGGGGAGGGCTGCGGGCACGGGATGAGGCGGTAAGGCAACGGGAAGACCATACTCTGTTTGGGAGGTTGTGCCGGGTTTAGGGGGGTTATGAAATGTGATTTTTGGTGGTCTTTGGCTTGGGCACCTGGGTCAATCAGTATTACTTGGAGATTTGGAGTTGGAGGTGCTAAGATTGGATTTGGGGTGGTTGCGTTGCGATTTTTGGGCGATTTTGAGATTCCCGGCCTTCTGCGGTCATCGTAGGATATGGGGAAAACGGCAAAAATGTGATGGGAAAGTGACGGGAACAAGCATAGGGAATACAACCTGGGAAAGGGGGGGCGTGTGAGCAAGGCAGAGAGGTTGACGACAAGGGTAGCTTTTGCGGGCTCGAGTGAGAAAGGTGGTGAGAGCCTCGAGATTTTTTGGAGACTAAAACTGATGATTGGGCTCTGCGGAGAAGCTCTTTCGTTGTCCTGGCTGACGTTGTCACTCACAAGTCACTCGACCTCAAAGGTACTTTGGGACGGCACGGACTGAGAGACTGATCGAGAGCGAGCAAAGAGCAGGGCGGCGTCAGCGGCAGAGAGAGGGTGAGGTGATGCAAGGACATGAAAGAAGGTCGCAGCGCATGTGCTGCTGCTGTGCCGTGCTGCGCAGCCATCTCGTTTGAGTGATTCTATCAGGAATGAGAAGTGACGAAAGGAGAGGGGGAGCTTTGAGGGGGGCGTCGACCAAGTATTATGTAGACTCTACAAAGTAACGCATAGAAAGTCTGGAAATGGGGGCGGGAAGAGCAGAACATGCCAGATATAGGTAATCCATGGCCAGTATGCGACCCGTACGGGAAGAAGAAGAAAAAGCAAAGAAACAGAACCCAGACAGAGTTACCCAAAGTTACGTTACTAAGGTAGTGTAAAAGGAGGTGCTAGACTCGCTTTCGATTTTGACTCCTGTAAAACCTTGGATAGCATTCCAAGAGACTTGTTGAAGTGTGTGTGTGAGAACTTGTGAAGCGTGTAATAGAGGTGCCTAGCCAGCGGCGCGACACTGACAGGGATGTGTTTGCTGGTGCTACTGCGCAGTATTCTCTGGAAATCTGATAGCTCGCCTCGATTGCCGATTAGTGAACTGCGCTAGGACGGCATTAAAGCGCCATTATGGAATCCCCTCCTGGTGATGGTGAAGTTGAGATGAGAAAGCCTGAAAGCACGCGGTTAGCAAGAAAAAAAAAAGGGTTTCGCTCTAGTTTGGTCTTGGGGGTATTGACTCGTCACCACCCCCCTCCATCTGAATCCGCGGCGTTTTGACTGCCCTGGGATATGGAGATGGTGAGAGATATGGTGAGATGTACGGATAGATTGAGTCGCTCATGTGAGATACTGCAGTCGCAACTTCTTATGGACGCGGATGTGTTTTGGCCAAAGACCCTGGCATTTTGATCTCCAAAGGATTATTGGTCCCCTCCCTGCCCCACGCCATGTGAACGCATCAGTGATCACCCAACCTCGTGGTCTAACGGTCTGACTGGGTTGGTGAGATTTATTCCGGGGAAATATTGTCCATAACGTGCTGTGGCCACCGACACGGTCCCGAATGCGACCAAGACCTGCCCCCAAGATTGGGGAAAATAACGAGCTTTTGCAAAGGAAAGAAGAAAAAAAGCAAATAACGGAAAAGGAATGTCTTGGGAAGAAGTTGTATGAGATGGCGGCGGAGGCTGGAGCT